ATACGTAAATAATCTTTTTGAAGAACAAGAAGAAGCTAAGTGATTGGAAAAGAAAAGCCTAGGGAAGGAAACCCTATACGATGAGAGCTTTGTGGACATGGTTGTGGTAACTAGCCGCGCGTTGACCGTAAGGATAAAGTATGAGTCCAAGCTCGTTCATGTGCCTCGATGGGATAGCGCCAAAGCGAAAGACGAAGCTCTAAGTATGTCATAGTGAATATGTAGAATAGAAGTGATTGTAGAAGAAGTTGTATTATTGTGGAAGGTCCGAGCATAGCCGGGTAGTATTGTCAAATATTTACCTCCTCGGCCGAAGTGAGGTCCCTCAGGTAATTGACGTAGATATCCCCAAGGAGTAACAGGCCCTTAATGTGAAACGGGTGGTGATTGAGGAGCATCTCGACGAAATGCATCGACTCGAGAGGGCGTTGCTGCTCAGATAACAGCAGAGCGAGGTTGAACAGAGCGCTACGCATGTCCCCTTTGATCTGAAAATGTACAGGACAGTCGATACTGATGTGGTCCAAAGCAATAATCATGTTTAGGATATATCTACTTATAAAGTGAACCCTACACAATGTCTATGTATGTCAAAAATGCGTCGCTGACGCAACGAAACGTGACATCCATTTGCTGCCAGTGATTAATTTATAATTCCTAAATTATAAGTTATGATTCGTTTGACTGCAGAAAGCCAAGAAGCCAATCGAAATTCCTTCACTAGAGATTTACACATAATATGTTTGGTTGATAAGCTAGAATGAAAATAATTCCGGCCATAAAGAACTAGTAAATATACAATACTGGCTGAGTGATTCGGGATAGATGGCATTAGTTATCCTATATCTATACACGTTTAGAACCTACCTCAATGGCTTTGCGAAAGTTGTCTTCAGCGGCCGCAAAGTCCTTGTTCTCTAGTGCCAACATCGCCAGATTGAAATATGTTTGCTCGGGACTTTGTGCTTCTCCTCGCTGCATCAGTCGTATCCTATAAACGGAGAGTGACGGCACGTGTGAGAGTAGCACATATAAACAAAGAAGACAAGCGCAAGCAACATGCACCAGCGTAGTAGATTAGACAGAAGAACAATCGCACCCAATCGTTACTGCTGTTTGGTTTCTGCTCTTTGTTCCCTCCTACTTCACGCAATGCCGTGTAGACTAGTCGTATGACGGGAACAGAATAAGATAAAAAGGAGAACAGAGAGAGAAACAAGGAGACATCTTGCTCAATAACACTGAAGTGGATATGGATAGGCAGACACATAAGCGAGCGATATGAAAGTGGAGTGAACCCGCTGTCTCATAACGCCGAGCCGTGTCTCCAATCAGATCTACACTCAGGCCAGCTAACCCCAGTTCGCCAGCCGGCAGCTGACGCGGCTAACGTGAGTTGAACAGACCTACAAATAGGACCCTGCTCAACTTGTGACCCGGTTACGTCCGCGCATCTTCGCCCGCTATTCTACTAATACGTATTGACGAACGGAATTCCGTTAACTGACGGCACGCGTGGAAGCGCAGCGTGAACCGCTAGCTTGTCTAAATAGTCTTTTCTCTTCATAGAGCTTTTACATATTATAGATATACGTACATTTTATAGGCAGGTACAGAGTCCCGTACATAGGAAAAACAACCACTTTCGTTGTACAAAAAGGGTGCGGGGGGGGGGGGGGGCATAAAGAATACAAGCTTAATGATAGTTGGACAAAAAGAAAATACGAGAACTTGGATTTTGGACTGCGGAGGAAGACAAAGACGTTTCACATCATAAACTTTTGCTGTTTTGCAGTTGCTCTTCAGCTCAGAAACAAAACACGTACGAAAAACTTACTGCCTAACCAGTGAACATAGTAACACTCTAGCTAGTTACCTTTGATTTATTGCCGGGTGTGACGTGGTGAGCCCAGACTCTTGAAGCAATATAGCAGAGTTGACAAGCGACGGCTCATGGCGTGGATCGAGGTCAAGTGCTTTGATGAATAGCGAAAGTGCTTCCTCATTGCGTCCTTGATCCATCAGCATAACAGCCAACTGAAGGAAACGGAAAAGTGCTATGAATCTCTTTAGGCCTCATAGGCGTTCTGGCTATCAAATTCTACAGTATGAAAAAAGTCAGCTTACTACTGAGTGTTCAATAGGTTAGTGTAAAACACCTGATCTCAGATGATTTATTGGAATGGCAATGGGCGGAAGGATGGTATCAAGTTCACACGAAGATCTCTCCTTAGTGTTCAAAATGCTTTTTACCTTAGCAGTTACTGTGATTTATTAATAATCGCTTATAAACATCAATAATGAAGAAATCGGCTTAATTTACAATAAATCGACAGTAAGTAAACTGCGACGCTTGTTCAAAAGTTGAAGAACAAGCAAATTTTTAACCATTTTCGAGGCTCTTTTACTACAATATTAAATTCGAATGTAGCTATCATTATCTTAAGCTTAGTGACAGGTTCCATTATCATATTTTTGCTTAACTGTTTCAAATGAAATTTGATTTCCGGGCAAGCAAACTAATGCGGGTGTTGCAAATGCGTTTTTTTCAACCTGGAACGCCTATTGCTGCAGCCTTATTTTGACTAAGTTTCCGGTTTTCCGGTCAACGTGGAAAATGAAAAGGACATACAAAGAAAGCGCGGCCAATCAAAAAGAGCAAGATCTTTCCGATGATTGAGTGCATTGGACACAAAGAGGAAAGACTGAGACAAGATGGTAGCACTTAAAACAAGTGGACTATGGATCAAGCTAGTAGATTTACTCACGTTGTAGTGCGTATCTGGGTTGTCCTGATCGATAGCTGCTGCTCTTTCGTACATTCGTACAGCTTCTGTCGTTCGGTTATGGCGAAGAAGGAGATCCCCACGCGTTAAATATGCCTCTGTGAAGTCCGCTCGTAGCTCGATCACTTCGCGTAACAGCTGAAATCCCCAAATCAGACGCATCTCATCAGTCTCGTTAGCGTAACGATGCATTTAAGCAAGCGGTTGTCAATGTCCCACCTCAACATCGTAGACAGCTAGCCGCTATGTCCACTAGCGAAAATTAAGTCCGTTCGGCGTGGCGGATTCACATAAATTGTAGTGAACGGCTGATTTTCGGTTCCTTTCGCCCACTCGTTTTGTCCACTATTCCATCGAGACAGACCTGCTCTGGGCCAAAGTTCTGCGGCTGCTTAATGGAGCGATGCCGAATCCGTTGTCACCCGTAGTGGAGTCTACGGAAGTTGTACTAATATACGGCAGCGTTTGCTGACAAAACCTGCCTTCAGCTGATGTGCTTGATGAGCTCAACGCTTGGCTGTGTCTTAGGTTCAGACCCTAGCAGCATTTAGCATTGACGCGATTGAAGTCGACATGCCAAGACAGAACCATCGTCGGCTGAAGTCGGCAGCTTTCCTGATTGGATCCGGCTACCGATCAACCGACTAGCGTGACGATGCCTAGTTTCATCGTGGCGTCACACTGCCCGTCTGCTCTGATGACCAACCGGCCCGGCGACCTCGGCGGTTTGCCTGCTACCCCACTTGTCTACTCCATGTAAAGCTCCCTCTTGTTTCGTCAACCATCCATAACACAGCACCTCCCTGGTCGCAACGGCCAATTAACATGAGGCTAAATTACGCTGTAACGACGGTTTCTGCACAGCGCACAGAATGGGAAGCACTAGGTGGCGAGCTCAGGGAACTCGTAGTTTGGGGAGGCTGGCCGAGAGAAGCCGTGGGTAACGGAATGGACTGCATTGGAACGGTGCACTCGAGGCTGTAGTGAGGATCGAACCGCCGTCCTTCGGTGTCGTTCGGTTCGTCAAGCCATCAGCGATGGCTACGATGGTAGAGGGGGATAATAGAGAAGGCGTGGCGGGCTGCGTCGACGTCGCCGCACCAGCACACGTTTATGTTAGCGACACGACAACTGCCGCTAAAACAGAAATAATGAGCAAAAAGTAGAACATAGTTGGGGTAGTTGTCCACAATTCACTTGGCTTAGCTAGGTTGGGTTAGTTGCTGGATTAAGGCCGGAGCAAGGCCAGCAAGGGCCGCACTGTCGACGTGGTGGACTATGCAGGCGCAGTATTGCAGTTACTGCTATCGTCATCAACCCCGCAGAGTCACACGCAATGCTGACAGCCGTGGCAGTATCAACATCCTTCACAAGGCTTGCTGCTGTCGTCCCATGGTCTCACAATCTCCAACCTCATAGGCTCCTTTTATCTGATTACTTCCCGTCACTGCATTAGTGACTAATCATCGACTTCAACACAACCGACCAGGGGAACTTATCCATCGGCTTCCAAAAAATCACCATGAGCAAAAGCTTTAGCGGAATTACCCAAAGTATGGGGTAACCGAACGAGAATCCTTGTATATGATATACGTATTTGTGAGTAAATTTCTGGGTAAAACTTATGAGTGGGCATCTGTTCTTTGATTTCGTAACATACAATTTTGTCGTAATCATATGGGTCTTGTGCCTAGCGACCAATTTAATATTTTTGTCTAATCAACTGATCTTGCCTGCCAAATCGTTTCACCATAAAGTGGTTAGTTGCTGTTATTGGTCTGCCAATTTAATTATCTAAAGCGGAATGGTCTGAGATTAGTATTTTAGGAAGGGTAGAATTTTTAATGCCAGTTATTCAGAAAGAGAGAAAACCACTATTTTCGGAAAATTCTTTCCTGCTTTAGAATAAAAAGTCTTGATAGAATAGACTCGACGCATATGCTTGAAGTTGCAGGAGCCCCCCGATAATTTAGTCGTTCGTGCTACTGTAATAGAAACAAAAACGCCAACTTTTTCTTATAGTAGAATAGTAGTCTTACAGCATGGTTGTATATCACAAATGGGCTTGTCTGTGGTTTTCTTATGAGCTTGTTTGTCCATATCACGTATAGCCTTATAGAAACATACGAAATCTGCTCCGTTTGCATTTTACTAATACGTAAGCGTAATTCACTGTGTATATGCTTCCGTATAAATTGTTACTATAGCGACAACTTTGACAGGAAGCTGGGCTGGATTGCACCAGACTATTCTAAGGTGATATATAATCACAAATTGCCCTTCCAAAAGCCTACTCATTTACAATGGGTATGAAATTTTTCTGTATGCATTGTGCTGTTGAAGCATGAGCTTTTGTCTCAACTGGTTAGCCCAATACATCCTGGTCGATTGACTGGAAGTCCGGTGTGCTAATCTAATAAACCCGTCAGTCGCATATAACAGCTCGATATGATCGATCACGTTCTATTAGATACAATTCCAGGCGTACTCACATCGTCGGCCTCTTCATATCGTGAGTGGTTTGCGGCGATCAGAACAGCCAGATTGAGGAACACCTGCAAATGACTCTGGGTCACTGTTACTCGTCCCTGGTTCGCGCTGGGTAACAAGTTCCTGGCGCGCCGGTAAACCTTTTCAGCTTCGGGCAAACGTCCTGCTGTTGTGAGAAGGCGCCCCATATTAAGGTAGCCTCGGACGTCTCCTGGCTGGAGCCTGTAATCAATATACGAACAGAAATTTACATCGATCATGTGCGTCATGCGAGCCAAACAATATACCTGCCTTTTGAATTTTACTTGTCGAAAGCAGTAGCAATACGTAAAATAATAATCGAATTAAGTATATTTGTATAGATAATTTTCTGATTGCCGCATAAAACTTGTCGTTCACTTCTGTATTTACTACCACAAAAACAACGCACTACATGTTTAGCTGAAGATACATAGGTTAATTTGAAGGGAGAGTCTTATTTTATTGGATATTTCAAGGTCGAATCGACTTTAAAAAGCGTCACGTAACAGCTTTGAGAAACAGGAAAACGTAGAAGTGAACATACATAAATTAAGGTACGTCCAATAGTTGTAATGGCGACATGATTGTAGATAAAGGCGGATTGTTTTGAGCATCCTAATTCGAAAATGTTTTTTGCCACTACTTAATACAAACTTCCCTTCTACCGAAAAGGCTTGATAAACCTGGTCAACTTGGTAGATATTTTAAGTTAATATTTTTCGATTAGTTTGAAGTTTCTTCTAAATCCAGCCAGTATTCAATTAAAATATAATTATCTGGAAGTATATTAATCGTAGAATTTCAATTATGGGTGCACTCGACAGTCTTTTTGCTATGTATATACAGCATATTGCAATGTTTACTTATCTTAGTTATTTCAAGTTATTTTTCCAATTAGTACTTTCTTAGCAATTCTCTGGCTGAGCGGAAGACCGGTGTTGTAATAATTTTTTAACTTTTTCGTCATTCAAAAAAAAAAGAGAGACTTTAGGTACCTTCTAGTTTTTTAGTCTGGATTTTTTTGTTTTAATATTTGGCATTTTTGAAGACTTTGTAATACATTGACATTTTGTAAAACCATTCTAAAATGCGTGATAAAAAAAACAGTGATAAAAAAGCGAATGATTAAAAATAACATTTTTTATAACCATTGCATATAACCATAATAAGCATTGCAACACGCATGTCTTAAACATGCATTTATCAAATGCAGCCATAGTGAGATGCAGACTGCGATCATTGGAACTGATTAATGACTAAATAATATTCAGAACCCTTATTGTTCGAATGAAATGGATAAAAGTATTACTTTTAGGGAAAAAAATATATCTTCTTGTATTAAGCTAAAATATTCGTTAAATGAGAAAAACCCGTATAGAAATTTCAAAAACGGTAATAACTACAACCAACATTTGTGTACGAAGCTTTTCGGCAATTTCCTTTTTGACATCTTTGTAGCGTAAGCTCAGCGCCTTCAAGACACTTGAAAAAAGTCGCTTCTGTGATGTTGCATTTCTTCATATAATATCGCTATTTCTCTTGACGCTAGTTGACAAACTTCGAATCCCTTCAGCACGAACTTGAAGTTTACTGATAGGATTTCTGATGGTTTGCTATGTAATACCGTGGAACGGCAGCGACAGGACCAATACTTTTGAGGAGCTAAATTTCGTTTGCCCTTGGCGTGTTCAGTGCTGTAGAACACTTTTTTCCGTTTTCAGAAACTCTCATTGCAGTAAAAGCGGCAGTCAGAGGCAGCACCAACAGAACCAGGCACAGCAAAGTCGATATCCGCAAAAAATACGCGCAAGCATCCCGTGGCTTCCCGTTATTCCTTCATCGTTCCCCTGCCCAAATTTCGCTTGGGCCTTCCCTCAGCGAGTCTTGCAACCCTTAACTTCTCCTTAGTATATCCTAGAAATAAGCTAATGATGTTACCGCAACCTAGACCGGCCGTCACAGAGGCAAGTAGATATCTGCAGCTTCAATGAAGGCGATGATGACGGCAGACGCGACGTTCACAATAGTGGCAGCGATGGCTTTCCATATCGTTGTGTTGTTTCTCGCCATTTTTGCGGGGCAGCCATCACCGTAGCGTGTAAGCGCTTCGATCCTACGGGAGCTAAAAAGGGATTGGGGTGATAGATTGAGGGAGCAGAGATTTCTCCCGGTTTTTCGGTAATTGGTTCGTGCTCGATCCATGTCGACGTCGGTTTTTGACTCTCGGCGTTGTTTCTCGTGGCGCCTTCACCACAAACATCGACTCATCTAGCCACCATACCCTTTGTCTCTGCCATTACATCCTTTCTTAGACAGCACGAGAAGAACGTCGAAAAACGGCCGCGGAGTTGCGGTTAAAACGGCATTGAGCGATGTTGCAAAGAACGAAAGGGACGTGACGCGGGTATGATGTTCTGGGAAGAATCTGGTAGGGTCAAGGTGGCTGGGGCACCGCGCTTCGCAAGCATGCATATTCTCTACGCGGTGCTAATGTTCAGCAAAGGGCGTGCTAGTGACAGGGGTCAGGAGCAAAATCGAGGAGTGAAGTAAAGAACTTGAATGAGCAGGCGTTCCCATCAGGACTGCCAGTCTAAGCCCTTCATTTCTGGCGCGGCGCCGATGCGCAAGATGTGTGGTCAGACAGAAGAAAGGCAGCCCGGCATGTGAAAGAGGTCCCGACGCTTTCGAACTAAGTCAACAATGCTGCGTCATCCTTCAGCAGAACCATCGAGGCTACGTTTAACCAACTCTAGTGGAGCTACGGAACAAACCTTCTTACCGAATATCCGTGGCACGCGGTCAACACCATGCTGCGAGTCCGCTCTTGACGCGAACGCAGCATCAAAGGATCGGCTCTTACGAAGTGATAGGCAGAAGTAACAGCGGAGTCTCTCGAGTCGTTTGGGAAACAAACCAGCTACGAGAAGAAGGCAATGATAACGGGAAAAAGAACGCAGGAACAAAGGGAAAAGAGCCTGTTCCGGGTTACAGTAACAAGGGCACAAGAATGAACAGTATGTCGTAAGCGGATGAAGTAGCGTTAACAGAAGCAAGAAAAAGGGATGGATATAGTGGCAAAAACGGCCAGAAAAACAGCGTTTCACCAGCCGAGGGATGGAAACGGACGATGCGATTTGTGTGTGGAAACACTGTTATTAGGGGATCAGAGAAAAAATATAGGGGATAAAAAATGATAGAAAAAGGAGACGGGAATACAAGACGCTGGACGACATGGCCACACGTAGGCTGAGGTCCACCCGTGCAAACCGGTGGCTAGAGAAAAAAGGAAAAACACGCAAAAACATCAGCCATCCAAGAATCACTGAGAGGAGAACAGGATAGGTTTTGTGCACAAGAAATAGATTGAAATTCGTTGTCTGCTGCAATAACGAAGAGAGAATTGATAGAACCAACGAGCAAACTAGCCTGATTAATGACAAAGGACACGTTTTTTTCTTGCGTCACAGTGAATTCGGACAGTACTTAACCTTCGAAGTAACATTTACAACGTATTTTTGATATCTTAAAGTAGAAAGCCAACGTATTCAGAAAAACGTCAAGATCTAACAATTAAATAATATAAATAAATTAAGAAGAGAAATATAGGCGTCAAGGTGAGCTGTTTAATGGTTTACATAAACAGCACTTATGCCTACGGTTCAAATGCTTTTTTGGAAATTTCTAGGAAACTCTACAAAACAGTTCAAATCTATACCTCATGATTACTTTCGTGGACTTAGTTAGCGAATAGCTTCCGAAGAGAACACGTTTTCAGTAACCATAAACTGGCCTATAACTACCTTATGTACTACGTATGGAATAGAAGCCATAGCTTTTTGGCTAATGTTTGAGTGCGTGAATGTACATCAGAAATCGATACGCACGGAACTTCTGGCGTTTGCGCTTTGTTTTTGTATAAAAAAATGTGTGTTATCATAAGTGCAGCTCAAGGTACTAGCTGGTATGTGGCAGGCCATCATTGACTTCTTGCTGCGGTTGGTGGGGGTCTTTCTCACCGCCATCAGCATCCTTGTTGTTGCGCCCTTTCTTGCGTTGTTTCTTATATTATTACGACGATAGTGTTCTGTGCTAGATATAGGTACTATTATCAGCGACTTATGAGTAATATCTACCTATACACAAACAGCAAAGTAGGTAAAAAAAGGTGCGAATGAATATAGCCACGTATTTTGGTATATTGGCTAGCAGCCATATAAAATGGAAATCCGGCTTACAGGCCTGCTCTTCTGGGTGACCATATTGTATCGGCATCAAGTGCAGCTGAATAAAGTGAAGTGAGTTGGGCTGGCTTGCTGGCAGCCCGCCAGACCGTGTGGAAAAGCCGACCAAAGTGGCGACGCACACTTACTTTTTCTAGCGAACCCAGACACATCCGCGTACTCCCTCTCGTTCTCTATCGCTTTGTCTCTCTTTGTCAGTTCTCTACGGCCTGGGCCAATCGCTATGGGCCGGTAGAGTTGGTCATTCGCTGTCGTTTGGCTAGCCCGCTTAGCGGCCCAGCAGCTCACCCCGCACACGCGGCTCACATAAACTGGCTCCTTAGAATGCAATAGAACCTCTTTTGTGGATGTGGTAGCAGCTAGATACTGAAGTGGCCAAAACGCCTCTGGCCGTCAGCTGGTTCCGATCTATGAATAATGTATATCTTCTGCTGCAGACAGGTCGGATGACCGCCTCGATATGGCAACAGATATACATTAGTGATGGCCTGCCTGCCAACAGACTCACTGAATCTTACACTCATTCTATATCCAACGCAAGCTCACACATACATATACAAACCAATAGCTCACCCATAGCGACACAGATTCACGTAGTGAAGCACGAAATGTTCATTGTCAATAAGTCTGCCCCGGCGGTCGATTAGCTTCCTCAACTCCTCAGTGAAGGCTGGAAACTGTGGACTCGAGCGGAAATCTGTCGCGGCGACCCCGCCATCGGTAACTGGCTCCACAGAAGCAGACGTTTGCTTTGAGTGAAATCAAGATAGCTGCTGCTACATCCATTCTCTCTGTACTGAGTTAGTATCCGCTTTAACCAGTTGTGCCGTACTAGAAACACTAGCAGAACGCGCGAAATTGACAGTTATTTTTTGTTGTAAAATTGGGCGTACACCCCTTCGAGCTCAAGAGCTCAAATGCTATCTAAATAACCATCAAATATTGCCGAGTTTTTGGTGG